GGCGTCCGGGCTCGCGTACCGGTCGAGCTGGTTGCGCACGTCGATGAGCTGTTGGATCGAGGTGATGTCGATGTTGTTGACGGAGCTGAAGTCGAGGATGATGGCCTTCAGGGTGGGGAGGTGCACGTCGACGCCGACTTCGTTCGAGTCGATGCCGGCGCGCGCGGCGGCTTTCAGGTTGCGCTTGGATGGGCCGGGGTCGTTCCAGGGTCGGTCGCCGGGCCGGTCAAAGTGCGAGAGCGTGGTGCGACGCGTGTTCTTGTGGATGTACCGGACCATGTACTCGAGCGTGTGGCTGGCGTTGGGGTAGTTGAAGCCTTCGGAGAAGCGGTAGATGAAGATGCCCGGGTAGGGGTTGTCCAGCTCGATTTCCGGGTTGGAGCCGTCCGCGTGCGTGATGGGGAGGAAGATGTTGCGGTAGGGGGCATCTAGCGAGCTACTGCCGGTGAAGGTGCCGTAGCCTTCGTTCATGGGCTTCCGGGGATCATCGCCGATAACGTGGTCGCCGAGGACGGAATGGACCTTGATGCGACCCAGGAAGCGGCCCTGAGCCTTAAGAATGCGGAAGAGGAGGACGGCGAAAGACAGACAGACTGTACAGTAGATACCGTTCTCGATGGTGGAGAAGACGGTGACAAAAACGCCGACGAAGAAGATGATAACTTCGAGGGGCGAGACGAGCCAGAACCGGTAGATGGTGTTGGGGGGTGTGATCAGATCGCCGACAGCATGGATAATGACGGCAGCTAGCGATGCGTTCGGAATGTAGTAGAATACGGCAGGCAAGGCGTAAATAGCCAGCAACACCACGATGGCGGTGATGACACCGGCGAAGGGCGTGCGTACGCCCGCCTTGGACTTGACGGCAGTACGACTGAACGAGCCTGTTGCAGCGTAGCCACCAAGGAAGGGGCCCAGCATGTTAGCGACACCAATGGCCACCATTTCCTGGGAAGGGTTAATAGTATAGTTGTTGATACGGCCGAACGACTTTGCGATGGCGATGTGCTCGATCAACAAGACAATGACGGCGGCAGGCAGAGAGCCAGCAAGCTTGCTTGCGAGTGGCTTGGTGAGTACGGGAACAGCTGCATTCTTGAAACCTATTTGATATAGTCAGTACTGGCTCACTGATGGAAAGTATGTGAGTGGAAAATACCTCTGGGAACGTCAAAGAGAATCTTGAACTTCGAAGTTCCTCTAGGGAGGTCCTTGTTGGCCAACCAACTGATCATGGTGTACAAGAGAATCACAAAGACGGTTCTCAATGTCGAAAGGAAGAAGGCCATTCGCTGGTGTTGCGGCCAACGCTTGGCAACATAGTTGCAAAGCGACCGGATACCGTAAAGCATGAAAAGTGCTGACAAGCCCATTGCAGCATCCAGCTTGGTACGAGGTAAGCCTTGCAAGGTGTGGATGAAGACCAAATACGCCGGATCTCTGGTTGAAAAGCCCTTGATGCCCATCAAGGTAGGGAACTGTCCGACGGCAATGTTGAGGGCCGAGCCGGTCATGAATGCCGAAAGAGCAGTAAGCGAGATGATATCGACAATCCAACCGCACCGAATCAGGCCGATGAAAAGCACAACGGCGCCGGCGAGGATAGACAGAGCAGAAGCGATAACATGGGCCGGAATGTCGGGAAGCTCCGCCATGACGTTAGCAACGACACCGCCGGTCAGCGAGGAAAGGACGGCGACGGGGCCAATCGTAATATCTTTCGAAGTGGCAAAGAACCAGTAGGTCAAGACGCCCATGAAGGAAGAGTAAAGACCAAACTGGGGCTCAAGGTTGGCAAGCTGGGCATAGGCCATGCCCTGTGGAATGACAATGGCACCGATAGTAATACCTAGGCAAGGAGTAAGCAATACTGAGATTGGATAGCACATGGACAAGGGATGTATGATCTTACCGGCTACAAGGTCGCCTGCGAACCATTGTAGGTTATAGTGACTAATCCAAGATGTAAAGGGAAAGAGGGAAAGAATGTAGTCCCCCAACTGCTTTCCAGAAGGGACAATTTCCCTCAAGAACTCGGCTGTATGAGGTGGTTCTTCCACGAAGGAACTGGTTGTATGGTTGGATATGATGGACTCGCCCCGAGTAACCTCATCGTACGGGTCTTTGTCTTGAAGTTTGATGCCAAGTGCTTTGGCTGTGAAGCGCCCGGCCTTGCCCCAGGCCGTAGACATCTTGACGGCTTGGTCCTTCTGTTATAACAATGGGAACGATTGTTGACAAGAGGATGATGATGTCTGATACCGTATACTGGTTCAAGATATGGTCCGTGCTGGTTCCGGCTGTATCAAGGAGATCCTAGCTTGCCAAAAAGGTTTTGCATGGACCAAGGTGGGAAGTTGCTCTCAAGATGGTTGGTCCGGGGAAATATCCAATGGGGAAGATAACGTCGAATATGTATATCGCACAGATGTAAAAGCCCGTAGTTGCGCTCGAAACTCGTTGAGAGAGGAAGTGGAACTAGTGGAAGGTCGAAATCGAAGTCGAAGACGAGCCGGTCGAAGTCTAGGTCGATGTTGAAGATCGATCTATATTGTGTGCCTAAAGGCTGGAGGTGGCAACAAAGGGCCAGATGAGATGATGAAAACCGCTGCCGTTAAACATGAGATGATTCGAGTAAGGGAAAGCAGAAACAGGGACATGGAAAAGTATAAAAGGGCAAGCAAAGCTATACTAGGAAAAAGCCGACACAGGCGGCATTGAGGCGTCGGGTTGCTCGAACGAACCGGGGTGTGGGGGGCCGGGGTGAGGAAGGGAGGAAGTGCACGGAATCTGTTTACAGCTGCAGAAGAGGCAGAAAGTGCAGGGAAGCGGAGTTCAGGAGGCGTGGTAGAGCGCAGAAAGGTGGGCACTCCCATGATGACGTGATCGGCCTTTGCCCTTTCAACTCTAGTATTGAAAAGCTTATACACACTTTGCTCGCGGTTCCGCTGCTGATTTCCACTCTAGCCACTGTACGAGTGGTTGTAACTGGCATGCCGAGCCTCAGGAGAGACCGGCCTTCCGTCTGCCATGTCTCCGCGGTCGGTATTCGGGGGCGGGGGACGCCGGTAGTTGAGAGGTTGAGATGATTGAAGGTGGTCATCTCAACTCTCACCGCGCTGGGTTCGCGGAGAGGACTGCTGCTTGTGGGAGCTCCCGCTCTCCCGCACATGGGACGGTCTGCTCGGAGTTTCATGTAATGGTCATCAATATCTCCCTCCCATGGAGACAACAGTGCCTGCTTTTTAGCGTACCAAACGGTAGATGATCATGCTTGGATATGGATACGTCTTTCTACCACTAGGGCCTCCGATGGGATGGGAGCTTCACATGCAGCTGGGCGTCCGCACGTGTATATATAGCCCCGGTCACTGGATGTCATTGTCCCACGGCGGGATGATGCAAAAGACGACGGGAAGAGACACTTGCACTGCACCCCACGGAAGCCATCAGCAACAACCATGCAAAATGTGACCTTCCCCAAGTGCGAGAATGGCTGAAAACATGGAGATGTGCAGTCGTGGAGGTGTGATGGATCATGGGAGTTTGTCAGAGCTGGATGTCAAGGGTGTTGTGTGGGAGGCTCGAAAGGAGGGGCCGGCTGCAAGCGGCGAAGACGCAACTTTGACCATCGATGGTGCAATTGCAGCCGCAAAGCCTGTCGATCGAGTGTAAGCTTCCCGTTGGACGTCTCGGTGCCGTGCCTAGCTCCCGATCGTCCACATCCAACGCTACCCTAGACCTGCTTACAAAAGCATCAGAGGTGTTTTTTTCCAGAAGTGTCGCAACCACAATCAACACCCATCATGAACACCATCTCACTAACCATTGAGGTGTCAAGCTCGATATTCAGCCTGTGTGCTTTTTGGTAAACAACTGGCCTGAAGTTCTTCACAGCCCAGGTATTTGGAGGGATACTAGAGCTACGACTGCCACTCGGCTGGTTCCGACCTCAGACCTCCTTCTAGAGCAAAGGTCAAGGTGAAGGGTTGGTCCTGGTAGGTGACTCGTGTTTGTGCGGCGACTTGCACGGCCAGACCGCACAACCAACCTCGGCGCCCGGAGTTCGGCTCTCCACGAGGGCATCGTACTTGGCAGCAACGCACAGTGGGCTGAATTGGGCCAAAAATCAAAGAATTATTCCGCGGCCTCACTCCCATCCGTCTCGAGATGACGTTATCGGATCAAGAACGGTCCGCTGTGTGCTGACCAATAGCATGTTAGCAATCATCCGGTTCAGGAAGTCGAGCTCAAAAGGACACGATAAGCCGATAAGGTGACTAGTCAACGCTGCACGTGAAATGTCAGTCAGAAGCACATTAGGAAGTAGTCGCAGGGTTAGGGTTATAACTTACGCATGGTTGACGACATGCGCATCCTGGCATTGAACGGAAAACGACGCCAGCCCTCACGATTGGGCTGTTCAAGATGGCCTGGGGCAAGACGGGACTTCAGTTCGAAACAGGAGCAGTGAAATAACATCCAGGTGAGAGACCATAACAACTGATGGCTCGGAGATAAACGTTCACCCCCGCTGTGACCGAAACGAAAGGAGCTGAAGTGCCCGCTCTGCTGTTGTCCGAGGTGGATTATCGTTCCTCTAAAAACACAATGTAAATTCATGCCATCACCCAGGAACTACACTACGAACTTACAACAACCCCATTTCAGCAACATCGATGTATCCAATTATAAAACATCGGTTTACACTACGCAGATATTACCCCACTCAGTCTTGGTCTAGTTGCTATGAACTGTTGCGGGCATGATGGTCTTCGATATCAAATCTTCTGTCATTGTAGGTTCCTTTGACTCTTGCGTATACTCAGCCCCAGACTTCACTCGCCGTCCCAATTTTAAGGAAATCGGTAGGTGACACCAAACCGGCGAACCACCCCGCAGTTCAGCTGGGAACTATACAGTCGGGTACCTTGCGCAGAACGTGCTTCGTGCGTACTGACCTCGTACTTGTAGCTGCCCGTCCGCCCATCTGCCAGTTTCAGGTCGCCAATGAGGAGGTGCGCTTCCCACATCAAATTGTCAACGCTGCGAACTGCAACACCCAACCACTCCAACCTCACTGGCACGCCCGACAGCAATCTTGGAACAAACCTTGGCTAGGAACGACGCGCAAGCTGGCATGGCGACAATCAAGCAGCGTCCGCACTTCCCTTTCCACATTTTCTACGCTGCATCTCGACTTGTTTGCCGGACCATAAGCTTCAGCACCATACCCAATCGTATCGCCTCACGATCTGCGACCTGACACCATGAACCCAACGGCAAAGAACACCAGCTCGGGCAGCGCTAGAGATCCAGGCACGGATGCGATGCCGTTGTTGTCGACTCCAGTGACAGGGCCTCCACAACCCGCCCCCTCGGCGACGACGATGGGTGTGCTCCCGCTCCACCCGCTTCCACACCTTCCACCCCCATCCCCCGCTGCTGGCAATGGTACTGCGACTTTGTCAGTTGGTGGTACCCTCAACGGCCAGAGGTCGCTCAGGAGATTGCAATCGGCTCACAGCCTCGGCGCAAAGGCCTCGCCTCAGCCGTCCCTAATTTCCCAGCAGAGGTTGCAGCAACAGCAGCAGCAATCGCAACACCAACCGCAATCCCAACCGCAATCCCAACCGCGTCTCCAACCGCACCAGCAGCTCCAACACCAGCATCGCTTACTCCCAGGCCCTCCTTCGCCTCCTACTAGACATGCAAGTCTCAACTATCGATCGACACCACAAAGAGGTCGCGCCAACAGTGACGCCCCGCCAGTTCCTATTCCATTAGGTCAACAATACAGCACCATGGCAGCCGCAAATAGGCGGCGCGGCACAAGCTCGTCCACCGCCAGCGCCATGTCCCTCGAAAAGTTGTTGCGCGAAGGCCCTCCGAACGGCGATGTCGAGGCCGCGCTCGAAAGCACACGACTCAAGATCCTCGATCAAGGCGTCAAATCCGATAGCGATGGCATGGTAAGAGAGACACAGCCTCATCCTCATCAATGCGCTCTTGTCTTGCGCTCGCAATCGCTGACCAGCAATCCCAAACAGTCTTCCCTTCGCATCTACGTATGGCTGATCCTCCTCAACGCCCCAATCATTGAAACCGACACCTACCTTGCCCTCATCCATCGCGGCGCATCCCCTGCCTACTCGAAGATCCGAAATGACACTTTCCGTACACTCACGACCGATCCTCTCTTCCGGCGCCGCGTCAGCGAGGCCAGCTTAATTCGATTACTCAATGCCGTCGCCTGGAGGTTACACGATGCCCGCGGGGACCGAACCAGAGACCATAGCATTGCCAGTCTTTCGCGACGCTCGGCGCCATCAGAACCCGGAAGTCGTCCGGGAACTAGTGGCCACGACAGTATCACTGGGTCGCCGGCATCGAAAAGTCGAGCGCGTGCCTTGACCTTGACCACTGAAGGCTCCGAGGCCAGTGGTGTCGCTTCCGAACCGGGTACCTATGTACAAGGAATGAACGTGCTGGCCGCGCCCTTCTTATATGCTGCACGTAGCGAGGCAGAAGCATTCGTCGCCTTCCACCAGCTTCTCACGCAGGAGTTACCCGGCTACATTCGCGGTGCGATGGACGGAGTACACAAAGGGCTGGCGCTGGTCGACAAGGTGTTGTCGATCGTGGATCCTAAACTCAGTCTTTACCTGATGTCCAAGAACCTCACTGCCGAGATCTATGCATTCCCCTCCGTACTGACGCTGTGCGCCTGTACGCCGCCTCTGCCTGAGGTCCTACGTCTGTGGGACTTTCTCTTTGCATACGGTCCGCATCTTAACATTTTGTGCATCGTTGCGCAGCTTATCATGATACGCACCAAGATTATGGAATCGCCCAGGTATGAGTCTTCTCACCAGTAACCCGTTTTCCAGAGTTTCAACTACTGACATACCGGTCCTTCACCAGTCCTAACAAACTCCTCCGATCTTTCCCTGCCCTTCAGGCCGATTTGATCAAGCGGACCACTTTGACCGTGATACGCATGATACCCGACGATGTCTACGCTGAAATTGTTGCTCATGCCAAGTGATGCGATTTCTTGAAATCCATATACTTGCACCATATTTTGACAAAAGAAATCCAGAGAGAGAAAATGGGTATGGGGCACTGCTCCAGTGCGAGAGGCACCAAGCATGGTAGACCTGCACTCGAAGTTGACTTGCGCACACGACAGGTCGTTACATCATACTCTGACGACTACGGCCTGCCTGGCAATCAGCGGAAGAAACAGCTCTGCTTGTCCCCTACCCAAGTTTTGCATCTTGTACCTGCTGGTCGCAGAGTGCTGGTACACGCAGCAAACGCCGCGCCGAGGACAGTTGGGCACGTCCGGCGTGGTTTGCTAAATCATCTTCGTGAACTCAGGGGTGGCTTGGTCGATAACCTAAAAAAAGAAAGCTCAGCTAACAGATGGGAAGCAATGGGGGACTTGAGATTCAGCAAGAGGGATCGACACCTGGCGTTTCCCCCGAAATCACCCGATGTCCTCAGAGTTGCGACCACCTCTACACAGGCATTGCTCAGACCACTTGAAACCGCTCCGCGGCGATCCATGTATCATTCCGACAGAATTGTGACCTAGAAACAGGTCTTCATCATACAAGGTGTACTGGTAGGAGGTTGATATATCGGCTCTTGATTGCCCAAGCCATACGTGGGCCCGGCTCGCGTGATGCCGGCCGCGCAGGCAGGTTCAGACAAGGACACAGAAAGCGCCCGTTGCTGCTTCGAGGAGATGATATAGTTTCAAGAGAGAAGGGAGAAGGCGGCAGAATCTTGGTACCAAGGATTCCCAGACGAAAGAGACAATGGGATTATAGGACTATGGGACAGGAACCAGGGAAATGGTAAAATTTTCTCTAGACCCTACTGGCATATAATGGCTCAGTGTCAAAGTTGGATATGTGGCTTCAGATAGAACATTGATATAATAATTCAAAACCACATATTTGTATTGGCACATTCCAAGCACTATCTGGACCTTGGTCTTTCATCCCACCTGGACCTTGGGAAGGTGCGCTGTGCGCTTAGCAATGAGGGGTATTTATACCTAGTTTTCCGGGGTTCTCCCTCTCTTACTTTTCTTCTAATCAATCACCACCTTATTCCCAAAACGACCCCCTCCTGGCTGACTGCATCCACAGTGGCTTTTAACCTACAATCATCGCGTATACTGTGTAAGAAGCTCTGCCCATTCCATCCGATCGATATAGACTAACTTCCTCTTCTTTCTTCATCTTTAATATTTGACTACCTTCGTCCGACCTTTTTGGAGCGTCAGTGCAAGTTCTACGTGACAATACTATCGCGCCTCTTTTGTTTCCCTATGCCTTGATATGTACACGTAGATTTGTATAAACACCTAAATAAAAACTAAAACCTATATACCGCTGCGCCCAAAATGCTGTTATGAATGCAGAATTCATCCCTATTAATACTCCGTCACTTTCGATTCCATTTCACTACTTTCCTTTCCTTTTATGTACATGCTTTTCAAGCTCAGCATCGAGACTACTACATATAAGTTCCTTCATCTACTAACGTTCCCCACCCTAGCCCACAAGGCATGCAACAGATGGTCCTCGATTGCAAAAAACCAGTTCAGTCACATCTCAGTCGCATATGCCACCCCAAGCCTAAAGAACATGGCGGTGGCGGCGATGGTATATCGGGAACCATCGTCTCCACGCCGGACGGAATGCTTCGAGTACATCCGTGACGGACAGTACGACTCTGATCTCGGGGGTTCATGGCGAGGGGAAGCTTGGTATCGGGATAGTCGTTCTGTTCGAGTGCTGGCGAATGCGTTTATCACCTGACCAACTTTTTTGCTCGCTGGCTCTGTTGCTTCATAGCGGATTGCTTGTTGAATAGCGATAGACTTGAATGGCGTAGCGATATGTAGCTCGTAGTTTGCCCGCCCCCATTCCAAAACAGAAAAGAATTAAACTCCAAAAGCACCCCATTGAAACCATGGGGCCTTTCATGCCTCCGTCTCCTTAAGCCTAATACATAGGGCAAGCATCCTGGGCGCGCCTAAAGGCATTCGAGAAAAACTCCTGCATGGCGTTGTAGTGGAACAGGATGCCACCGAGGACAGCAATGTGCCAAAGGTTGTGGCTGCCACCAACATAGTCAAACATGCCGGGGCACCACCTCTCAGGGACCTTGCTGGCGTAGACGAGAGCGCCGAGGAAGTAGACGAAGAGCGACTCGAGTATAGGCGAATAGTGCTCCCACACCGACATGCCGCCGCGGGTGAGCCAGATCTGAAAGATGGGTAGGAAGCCGCTGGCGGAAAGACCGATGTAGAAAGCGACTCTCACCCAGGCCATATCCTGCCCGTTAAAGCGAGGATGCCACGGGAGGATGACACCACCGACACCAAGGAAAGCTGTCGCGATCATGTAGACCCACCGGCTAACGGGCTCGCAGTAGAAGGCCGTGTATTCGGTGGTGATGATGGAAGCAGCGATGAGAAGCGAGATGCCGGTGTAGTCGACGCAGGCGAACATGGAGATCAGGTTGACATCGGCGACGGAGTTCATGGTATGCCAGATGACGCTACAGGCCAGGCATTGGCAAGCCGCGAAGAAGAAGATGGCGGCGATGGCGATGTCGGTCTTGGTGCTCTGCGAAAAGTTGATGCTGGTGGGGTAGAAGTAGAAAGCAACGGCCAGAACGAGGATGAGACCCAGGGCGTGGGACCAGATGTTGATCAGCTCGTTGGAGAAAGTGAAAGCTGACCTGATGCAAGCCAGCTTGTTCTCGGAAAACCGATAGCCCTTTTGAATATGGGGGTTGATCCTCCACGGGATTGGGAGCTCCTCGTAGCTGATCAAGCCCTTCTCTCTCGCCTGATTAATGGCGCGCTGGATATGGTCTTCGAGGTTCTCGGCAGCACGCATGGCCCTCTCAATACCCTCCTCCATAACTCTCTTGCCCTCGCCCATGAGACTCTCGGCAGCATTGGCCAGTCCCTTCTCACGAAGCTTGGCGGCCTGGGTCTCCAAGTCTTCCAGCATCCCGTCGAGCAGATCGATGCCGACCTTGGCCTTTTCGTTCAGCGATCCAGCGGCGGCCATGGCCTCGTGGTAGCTCGTCTCTAGGGTCTCGACCAGAACATGGAGGCGTCTGCGTCCGGCACCCATCACTTCCTCCGAAACTTGGGAGCATCTTGTTCGTACGGCCTGCAGCGTAGACAGGGCCGCCTCGATCGAGGAGTCGAGAGTCAGCTCTCCATAGTTCTCCCAGTACTCCAACCGGTTCTCTAGCTCGGCGAGGAAGGCATCCATCTTGAGAAGCAGGGCTTCTTCGCCATCCACGATACTGTTGACAAACGACTTCCTCCGGGCATTGAGCTGGGATTTCCGGCGATTCCGGAGGGCCGGCCTTTCGGGGGCATTAGCCGCGCCCGAGGCCCGGGCCTCGGTGTTGTCATCGTGGGCGGCGAAGGAAAAGGGGGAAGCACACTCCATGGTTGTGCGGTTGTTCGGTCGGTTACTCGAGGTTTGGCAAGAGGCGAGTGCCGTGCGTGGTCTGGTCGTTACCCGAGAAGCAGTGTGATCCAGGCCTGTAATCCGAACAATGGTGGCGTCAACCGGTGAGCCCGCTTTTTACGTGCAGCAAGAAGGATGTCAAGACACGGTATCGGAAGTGGAAGCGGGAGTGGTGACACAGAGAAGTTAAAGTCTGCCACAGAGGTGGGAAGGACGTCGGGACGGGAGGGGCTTTGGGTTCCGACGGAGTACCGATTGACCACTAGATTCGCGCGTGTCAGGGGATTTCGATTCGTTCGGAGGAAACAAAACAACGGATTCCAGAGGGTAAAAAATTGCGTGGGTCCGCACTGCAGTCCGGATGACTTGCAGGTATCTCGACGCCCGATACTTGTTTGCAAATACCGCCTGTAGACAATTGACAGCGCAACGTATGAATGATTATATAGACAACAGAGCAAAAAAGTTCGAGAACAAAACTTATGAAAGGAGACCAGGGTGGAGATCAAGATGGGAACGCGGTAAGAAACCCACAGACACAGGAGACACCGAATGGAAAGGGTGAAGGGAAACAGCCCAGACTCCCAAAAGTTCCAGAGAGCCCGAAGTGGAAGGCTTCCACTTTTATTCTCTCATCCTATTAGTCGCCCGCACAGCGCGCCGAGCGTGCCTAGCCGCCGTAGCCTCTTTTCTTTGCTGGGCGTGCTGTTTTGATGGACTAATGGGCCACAACTGCTCCCACCTTCCGCTTCTTCACTTTTTCTTTTGCAGGCTGAAGTCCCTCCCGCAGGCAGGGCAAAACGGGGCATGACGGGTGGGATGCAAAGAAACCGGGCATTTTGGTAAGCTGCCATTCACAGTTTCATTGTGCGGCCATCATGATTGCGGTGCATTTGGCGGTCATCAGGAACCATTCCGTTCTTTTCCTGAAAGGGGAATGCCTAGAACCGCCTAAACCGCACATGGTTCGGGCTAGGAAAAACCTGGAAAGGGGTTCTTTGTCCCTCCCTGGCCAATGACGTCGCGGAATTGCGGCCCTACCGCGCTCGAACCCCCACCCGACTGTGCTGTTTCGAGCCTGTGACGCTGATCCACCAAGGCACGTGCGAGGCAACGAACGAAGTGTCCGCCAAGCCTGTCTTTGTTCATGCCTGCCCTGGGCGAAAATCCCCAGATCAATACCTACGGCTTCATCCAGGAACCACAAGCGACACACCTTCCCCGCGAAATCAGAAGGATTGACGACGGCTGATCGATCACACTGCGACCTCATAACCTCCGCCCGTTAAACCACTCTGGGAAATTGCATTCACCCCTCTCTCAAATATTGTCGTCATTCGGACCTGCGCTATTCAAAACCGATCTTGGCTTACACACCTCCACGGCAGTTGGCCCTGCTAAGTCGTGTTCTTATCGAGATTCGTGCTATTCACAGCTTCGGCAACTTGAACATCCGGATTGCCGTCACAACCGATCGACACCAACCACGATACCGACGATTACCATGGCTGCCGACGGACCCATCACCGATCCCTTGCTCGTTACGGTTCTTGACACGTCGAGAGCCGCGCGCGAGCAAGCCGTGGTTCTCATTGATCGCATCCAAGAGGCTCTTGATGCTGCAGGAAACGGGCCTCTGCCTTTGGAAGCCCAGGCGGAAATCTCAAAGCAACAGAAACTGCTCAACACCAACATCGCCCAACTACGCGGTCTACACCGGTCCGCCCATTTCAAGGCGCGTGAGACGAAGGGTCAGACAGCAGAGGCGCGTCACGAGGTCGACGTGCTCCATCTTCAACTGCAAAACCTTTACTACGAACAAAGGCACCTGGAGGGAGAAATCGCAGCCTGCGAGTCCTTTGAGTTGGTTCCCTTTGAACTCGTTGGTTGTTCTTCGGCGGAACAGCGGTTTGCTAACAAAGGTCTTTTTCAGGCATACCTACCAAAAGCTCCCACTGATCCCTGTCGAGGAATTCCTGGCTCTGCATCCCGAGCATGCTGATGACGACGAGAACGACCTCATGGTGGCGCGTATCAATCATGAGAGAACCGAGCGAGAGGCGCTTGAGCAGCAAAGGGTCGAGTTGCAAAAGCGTAAACAGAAACTGATTGCCGACAACAAAAAGCGACGCGACGATCTGGCCAATCTGGACAAGGATTTGGAGAAATTCATCGATGTGAGTAGCTCGAATCTGGTCCCGTCCTGTGGACTTATGACGTGAACGCTTGACTAACCCAAGACTAGGCCGCGAAACCCATCCAAAAGCTCTTCGAGAAGGTTGTATGAGGCGGCAATCCCTCATGCACCATACCTCACAGTTGTGCGCGAGCCATGTAGCTAGTTCACTCAGCGTGTCCTTGCCAGTCGTAGGATGTGCGTGACACACCGAGGTTTATACCAGCAAAGACGCCTTCAAAGCAGCCAACAATCGCTAAAAACCGCCACATAAGACGATGGCTATTGAGTCTTGCACGAGATGCAAGCTCTAGTGCTCAAAGCAAGAGCCACATTGTCTCAAGGTCACCAGCCTTACTATGGTTTGTTCCTCGCCCACCGGCTTCGAGGGAGACACATGGCTGGGTTATTTTCTGGGACCGGGCACGCGTTTGGTCCAAGATAAGACCGGGCCTGATGTTACCATGGAGCTTGCCCGTTCAGTAGGCCCTTCTGTTAATGTCGAAGAAGGGTGTCGTCTGAAAGGCTACGTCGACGTTGGAATCGTGCCTACGCAGAATGATGAAGCTCATACCTGTCAATTCTGTCGTCAGGGAAAATGTGGAGTAAGGCCACGCCGGTCGTCATACCGGTGCTCGCTAGCCTTGCGAGCGTTGTGAATTAAGGGAGGAATGGACAAGAAGCACGCCCATCTTTATAGGCATGCCGGTGCAAGTGTCGTCAAAGTTCCAACTGCAAGGATACTTATGGTTGGGTACAGTGGAATACAACATCTTTGGATGATGTCTGCACCGTGGGCTGTGTTCTAGCCTGGTACGCGGAATCAAGGGGAAGGGGACAGGAGCCCGACTGAAACCCGACTGAAACTCTGCATATGAACATTACGGATTACAACATGACGCTTGACCCCTATGGGAGATTTGTTCTCGAATTCCCTATCGAGTTTTATCCCCTCTAATCTTGCAGGGCTGTGTACTCTACCAGTACTTGCATATGGTTTGACAACCATTTTACGCGGTGTGACATGGTTTCTGCAAGCTCGCGATTTCTCCGTGATACATGTGGAGATTACTACTCCTTGGGACCTGTGTAATAGCCCAGACAATCATTGTGTGCAAGATACCTGGTTCTCAGGGAGATTCTGAAGGCGCAGAGGACCGACCCGAAATAATCTGCGGTTCCTCACGACAAGGCGGACTGTTCAAGTTGACCATGACTTACTATGCACCTTCCTCGCTCATCAAGTCGATGTGTTGGGCTTCCTTTGGTTATCTTGCCCGTTGTGTTCAGCCAGGCCAACGCCAAGTCTCAAGGGGCCTGTCATTGAAGAGCAGCAGCCCACGTGCGTCCAAAAGCCACTATCGCCAAGCAGGAGCAACACGTACAGATGGGAATGTAACCTGCCCGATCCTGTGGTTACAGAGTTACGTACCTGCATTTTATAATGCCTACGACGATGGGAACTTGGGTATTTCCTGGGAAAGCACGATGGTATATGTAAGATGCCTGACTCGTCACGAAGGTGATGGAAAAGAAGTCAGACTTGATGATGATCAATTGATTGATGATCCGGGAGAAGAACTCCCGGGATCTAGACACTCCGTGTCTGACTAGCCGAATATATCCTGGAGGACAAGCACCTGCCTGTCATGCTGCCTGACAGCAGGACGCAGGTCCGACTTGTGATGAAGAAAGAGCCAGACTTGGTCAAGTCAGACATGGCATGAATGTCTGGGCTTGCCTATCTGGGCTCTCACAAAGATCCAGAAGCGCCAATGAAGAGACCCTGAAATAAAGACCCTTCCAAGTCCTTTGTGCAAGGGATACCCAGCCCGCGCAACAACCTGCGAGGGAATTATATTGAAACTTACGCCTTTTCCAAAGCCCTACATACAGCTGATTTGAAGGAATCGTGTACTGTGCAGCTGTGAGTTTGTAGTGCCTGACAAATTCGGGCACAAACATGGCCTGGGCCTGGCAGAGAAAGAGAACCATCACGGATCACATCGTGTCAACCGAATAATAGGGACATTACCGTGGCCTCAATTTCACCAGCTACAGAAGCCCTTGACGCCCGGAGCTGCCCAAGGACCACAGTGAAAGAAGGTCTACTAACATAATCATGTCAAAGGACATGTCAGTTGGCTCGGATGAGGCGGGCTATATCTAGACTACCCCCTCCCCCTATATCTTGTAGACTACTTAACTTGTTTGGGAAGGACTTCCCGCCTTTTTAGCGCCGTACAGAAAATTGATATCAGAACTGGGCACTGGACCAGCAAACAACATCGGCAATGAGCCAACACCTCTACTATATGCAATAGCAGTGCCCTTAGGTTTACGCAATCTTACGATGCATTCTAACTTGAACAATGGATAAATGGATGAAATCCCCGTCTTCAGTTTTTCAAACCTCTTCATGCACTTTTAAGGGAGTGCATTTGGTCCAGGTGAGAGTGCAATGCTTTGGTCTTGAGCGCGAAGGAGGAACGACCATTTTCTTGGAGAAAATTTCGGGAAAGACCGACTGTGGCCTAACGGACTCTGCCCTAAATTTTGAGCGTGGATGTTAATGACAGATAAGATAAGACCAAATGCTGAAAGTGCTGCCCGAAGCTGTTAAGTAGTCTAGATATATCCCGCCTCCGCACAGCTGGCCCAACAGATGTCGGTTCAAGCGGCAAGACATTGGACACAGAGAACCCAGTCCCGACCGAGAGATACTTGATCCTTCTCCGTATCTGGTATTCACGCATCCGAACCGAACCGACAGACGGTATATCGCTTTTTTCCACTTGATGTGGTTTCACTCACATCACGATGCTAGATATCGGAGCTGAGTCTACTCTCTGCACGGTGGCAGGTCCCGTCGAGCTGAGTTTATTGCTGCTTCTTGGGCGTTCTTCCTTCCCGCCCTTGGCGAAGCTTGTTTTTTCTGGGGGAAAGCTTGATTTGTTAGATTCAAACGGTAGGCAGCAGCCTGAAGTATAGCGCCGGGAATATCTAGCTTCGACCAATCTACTCGTGAGTTGATGCGGGTCACAGGATTTCTTGGGAGCGATCCAGTAACAGGATTGGTTGAGCAAAACGATATCGAGTGAAAAAAAAGCGGTACCGGAGTGCTAGAAGATCTAGACCGCCAGGGCTTTCCACGAATCCACAGGGACCAAAAAGGAGATTAAAAGAAACCGAATGTGGAAGGATCAACACCTAGGGTCAATACTTGAATGTGTCTGCCTATCTGCACCTCGTAGGATCAATTATCACGGTGTGTGTCAGAGGCAAGTAACCATGGAGATAATTTCCCACTCATACTGTGCAGAACGCATAGGGACATGTGAAACGGGACGGAGCATCAAACACAACCTACCTTCTCATTACCCGAAGGGATCTCATACCAACATAAAAGCCCAGTTGAGTCTAACGATCCAAAGAATCCGCAGTATTGAGCAGAGGCGCAGTCGGGTGGTTGCCGTTGGAGGCGACGGCCGATTGATGACTCGGTATGTTGGATCAATAGTATCCTTTTGTCCGGTCTTGCAAGGTGACGGAGGGATCTCCTTCTGAACGTGTCCTTCAAGGGCGGGGCGACCAGGAAATGCAAAATTGGCGAAATTTCAGGGGGAGGCCCGGGCTTCTGAAATTAGGTTACATACGAACGCACTGACCCTGAGGGAGCCGAAGCAGGGAAGGAAGGCGGGACAGGGGCGATGTTCAACCTGGAACAACAACCTGGAAGTGTATTGAGTGAAAAAGTCGAGCTGTCTCCCTGGACGTATGTAGGGCAGGTCTTGCTACCCCAGCCTTGGACTGACGGGAGGCATGGGAGCTGGTACCCCGATACACGACACGCACGCACCGCTGTCAAGTAAAAGTGGGAGACATTTGAAGTAGACGCGTCTTCAGTTTGCAGTGTATTAAAGTACGCACTGCGAAACATTGAACAGAGAAGTGTCCGGTCGTCTGATCTTCCTGTACAGTAATCGCAAGAGCGGTACAAACTCCACCCATCCTCCGGCGCCGGTGCAGCCAGCAGCACAGCCAACTGCACCGCCTACCGAACCGCCACTCCCTCCTCTCCCCGAGGGTCTTCCCAGTCCCATTCCCACAGCTTCCTATTCCCGTGCTCCTCCCACGTGTACCTTTTGACCGGGCACCAATCCCCGTTGAATGATCTGGAACGTGTCCGAGGAGGTTCCGCTCAAGTCCCGCTATGTTCAGGCACCGTTGTGTCTTTGGCCACAAATGAGCCGTGGTTGGTTATCGGCGGTGAGGTACCGTATGGTGATGATACTCTTGCAAATGTAAAATTCTAGGGTTAGTTGTTGCAAGGGTCGCGCTTGTTTGAACAACTTACATTTCAAAAGCCACTTTCCGGACCATCCACGTTTGCCAGTTGATCGATGCTGATCCTGACTGGATTTCGGCCCTTCCTTCGACCTTTTCCCTTTCTCTTTCTCACCGGCCACCATACCGGCACAACCTTCAGTCCTGGTTCGACTGCACAACTTCATTTTCTTACGACACTTATTGTTTCTTTTCGCACCTCGTAACATTAATCACCTCTTCCGATATCCAGATGTTCCTCATTACGTGGTGTTCCCGCCGCGCCGGCGGTCTGGCTATGGCCGGTACGATATGGCTATCATACTGGGTTATCTCTGGAGAACGCGGGCATCAACTACATGGCTATAAACAACATGAGCCAATCGACGACAGTCTTGCCTCCAATGCGCCTACCGACAACCTCCTCGGCCCCAGCAACCGGGTGCGCGTGTTCGCCTACTACTGCCTTCTCATCCACTTGCTCGTCGTCATATTCCCACTTCGTTCAAACTGGGCCGTTTTCACAATCACGAAGAGCCTTCAGAAGATGGCGCGCATTGCGGCCGCCAGAGACCTCGATTTTGCCCATCAGCGCCGCGGTTCTTCGACCTCGTTATCCAGCGCCGAAACTCTTACCTCCTCCAGGGGGTTGGCCTCAAGCTCAAGCAGCGAAGCTGGAGAATCCGACATCGAGCTCAGCGTTGACTCCGAAGAGCCGCCCAACACGATCCTCCATGCCATCGTCATTCCCAATTATAAGGAAGAAAACGACACGCTAAGGGAAACACTCGAGGTTTTGGCATCGCACCCTCAAGCACGAGCCACCTACGATGTGAGTCTCCCATCCCAGATCCGTACCTGAACTCAAGTTGCTCCCGGCGATGGAAAACTTCCTTAGGGCTCCGCTAGTAGGGCTGTAAGGAGCGAAGCGAGAGAAGTGAAGTTGTGGACTCTAGACTGACGGCTCTTTACCAGGTCTACCTAGCCATGGAACAGCGGGAAAGCAATGTGGAGACCAAAGCCATGTTGCTCGCGAACGAGTTCACGAAACGATTTCGGTCCATCAGCTTTACCGTACACCCGTCGGACATCCCAGGAGAATTGGCAGGAAAGGGGAGCAACCTTGCGTGGGCAGCGAGACAGCTCAGCCAGAGATATACACCTGCTCAACGGAAAGATGTGATCGTGACTGGAATCGATGGTAAGTGCCGCGGCGTCGTATTGGAGGGTAGCTTCCGGCTCTTAAATCCTACGCCTTCCGCTCTTGGCTTCTTGCAAGCTTGATTGCGCATCGTGATTCGCTAACAAGCCACCCCCATAATGCAGCCGACAGCCATCTCATGGCCAATTACTTCACGCTAGTCACTACAATGCACGTGGCACATCCCCGAACGGCGACGACCACCTTGTATTCCGCGCCGATTATCTTCGACCGTAATGCTCACAATGTGCCTGCTATTGTCCGGGTTGCGGACATCATGTGGTCCGCCGCCGGTATGTCGGGATTACATGAAGGGTCGTATGTTGCGCCCCCAACATCAGTGTACTCTCTGCCACTTGAATTGGTCGACAGGGTTGGAGGTTGGGATTGCGATTCGGAGGCCATCGGAGAGGACCTTCACATGTATCTGAAGTGCTTCTTCGCCCTCAACGGGAACCTCACCGTCCGAACGGTCTTGAGCCCCGTCAGCCAGACCAACGTTACCGGCGGCGGGCGCGACAAGGGCCTCAGAGGAATCGGCATGGACATGTCGGCCCGGTATAAACAAGCGCTACGCCACATGTGGGGCGCTTTGGATACGGGCTACGCATTGAGGAAGATGGTTGAGGTTTGGAGGGAAAGGAAGCACACATCGCGCGCAATTCGCCCGCTTCATACATCTCCGTGAGTACTATCTGCGTCCATTCTTGTAGGTGGAAATTGTACGCTAACATGAGTTTAATCTAATCAGAAACGACTCCGATCGCTACATCCCCGAAACCCAACTCGATACATCCAACTGTAATGGCTTCTTCTCGGATATCGTCACCGATACGTTAGAAGGGCCAGACTACACCCGTATCTTTGTTTTGTTTCATCGACTATTCGAAGCCCATTTCCTGCCAGTTCAGATGACTATCCTGGTGATCGGGTCTACGCTGTACCTGTGGCTGGTAGACGGGGCGGCTGATGCGCCTGGCATAGGATGGATATTTGGTGTTTGCAACGTCCTACGCACCTTTGGGTTCATAGAGGTTGGCCTATACCTCTTCCTCTACGAAAGATTTCACAAGATTTGCGTCGAAACTCGCGAGAAGGAGATGAGCGACGCCGGCCTCACCAAGGGCATGCACTTCTCGCACCGAGCGCCCAAGAAGAACTGGATTGACTATTTCATGGTCCCACTAGTCGCTACGGTATACGGCTCCATTCCTTGCGCTCAAGCTCTGATCCAGCACTTTTGGACGTTGGACCTGGTCTATACCGTGAGCAAAAAGGTGACCCGACAGAGAGGAAAATCAGTCTCATCAACACCAAAAATAAAGGTTGAGACAATGGTATGAAGAAGAGGGAAACTTTGTGGCGTCGTTCAATTCTTCGGTAGTTTTCTTCTTCACCTCTTCCGATTTCCAGCGTTGTCGCCTAACAGCCCCTTGGATGACGAACTAGCAAGTTATACTTTTGAGCTCGTTACTTTATTTAGTTACTGACTGCTTGAGGCTCAAATCAGCTGTCTCTGTTCAGTGCGCTCAACAGTCACACCATACTATTCTTTTTTTCTACACTTTGCTAGTGGCAGTCTTTCGGCTCTAAGGGGTTATGGGGCAATTTGCTGTACATATTGCGGTTTTGCTCTGCATGGCTGGGAGCTGGGATTTTGCATCTAGATTCGTATTTCGGTTTTGGTTTTCTACCAGGTGTGCTAACTGGGAAACCAAACGGCCTACCTTGTGGCGAGCTAGGGGATAATGTTAATATTAGGTCTAATGCCAAGATGGAGGGAACATGAGGAGGACGGGAGGGCATCATCATTAGGTGAAACAGGTCGGGCTTTTCACTGAACAAAAGGGGATCCCAACCTCAATCACCACGATGCGAATGAAGGACTCAAGGAGCTTACGAGTTGGGAAGAGAACGATGATTTATCTGTTATGAGTAGCCTACACTCAAAAATTACATCTATAGTCAACATTGAGAAGTACCTCTGTAAGAGATGTCTCCTACTTCTTCTCTCCTGGTCAGAAAACGAAGCATGAACTCATCGGTTAGAGAAGACAGTTAGACAACCGAGTCTGTAAATGGAATAGTCGGTAGATTCGGTGTGTCCATACACTCGCACCAAAATGGGACATGTGATGCTAATTGAAGGGAGAAAACCGGAGGAAGCCGGGCGACAACGATTGTACAACCACTACACATACATCGCTTTGCATAACTTAATATTCTAGCAACGACTGAGGATACGCTAACTTCTGATATGAGCAAGTTTTTCTGCCATGATAGTCACATCCGAGCCTACTCGGACTATAGAAAGTTGGATTCCGAGAGCGCTCGGAGGTTGTGACATGAATCGTCCAATAGCTGACCAACCCTTTTGCGTCGCTAAGACTCTGGGCTGAAAAAGCTAAACAGATCCATAGTGTTTTCAAGGGTGTCACCATGTCCGATGCCTCTATGCTCCGTATTGTTTCGGGAGAGTATGATCGTGAAGAACGTTAGGAGAGAGAGTTTGGTGGTTTGGTCAAGGCCACCTAGTGATCAATAGAAACACCAGAGGGTAGGTCTGGTATAAAACACACAACACAGCCCGATCATGACGAGATGTGATGTTCATTGATCATTGAGAACTCACTCACCTACGATTACAACTCCGAAATCGACCACTCTGAGGAACACCGTACGCTACTCACCCCAAACGATCTAGGCACAATGAACAACACCTCTTCCGCTACAAGCAACAACCGTAAGGTGGTGCGCATAGGCGTCTTCATCCCCTACGGCGCCCAGCTGCTCGACACAGCATGCATCGACATCCTTGCCTCCATGAGCAGAGAGTACTTCTCCATGGTGGGGGAGGGCATGGTTCCCCCGGGTATCTACAAGTTGGCGCCTAGTGTTGAGATATTCTGTGAGTTTTAGTCTCATGTCCAATGGGGCCCTTCCATCTGATCTGCCGTCGTCAACAACCTACTGCTAGAGACAGTAGTAAGCTGGATAACTGACAAAAAACAAAGACATCAGCAAAGTCCCCCCCAGCAGCCACCCAATCCCGCTAACCGCCTCCATGAACATCCTCTGCACGCATCACTTCTCCAGTCCAGAAGTGGCACCGGGAAAGCTTGACATCGTCTTGGTTCCGGGACCGGATCCTAAGCTTGACTTCGAAGAGGACCCAGCCGCTCTGTCGTGGCTAGCAGGGCATGCGAACAACACCAGCAACAACGAGACGAAAACGACAGACATCCTGAGCGTCTGCTCAGGCATCTACCTCTGCGGTGCGGCCGGGATCCTCAAAGGCAAGAAAGCCTGTGGACCGCGAGGGCTACAGGGAGATCTGCGGACGAGATTCGAGGACCAGGAGGTTATTTGGGTGGGGGAGGAGTTGAGGTGGGTGGGGGATGGGAATCTTTGGTCTAGTGGTTTGTTTTCATCCCTTCCTGACTAGCCCCAGAAGATCGGGCTGACATCCAATGATGCCTATAGGAGGCGTAACGAACGGTAATGATCTCGTTGCGGCTTACGCGAGGCAGAGCCGTCACTTCCCGGGCCCAGTGGCTGAGTTGGGATTGAAGTTCGTTGAGGTGGATGAGAGGCCGCAGAGGTATGAGGATTGAGGGTACTAGCTCTGGAGACTATTGAGTTGATGTTGGGATGACTGTGGCATGCCGGGTTATCAAGGTGACTTTCACGGGGATAGGGAAGTTGAAGTGACTCGAGAGGAGAAGATGCCTGAAGGTTGTTTACTTTTGTCCCTTGTGATGCTTTCGTTGGTGGATCCTCTCACACAAGTGGAGTGAACCGTGAGCCTGGGGGGAACGATGATGCGGGATGGTGACGCCGGGAGACTCAAGACAAGTGCCTGTGATGCATGATGTTCATTCTTATGCCTCACACTTGATGCTCTCTGCTCTGGCGGCTATCAATCTTGCAGATGCAAAGAGCTCGCAGTCCCGCGACGACCAACAGCAAGCCTTGAGTCGGTGATAGCGGGTTGCAATGTTGAAGTTCCCGTCGTCGCAAGGTTTCCATGCCAGCTCCAGGCACGTCAGGGTCTGCACGACGTTAGCGCGGAGCTAGGTCGTCGAACTCTTCCCCGCTTTTGTTAGCAGACCGGTCTGCATTGGCCGGTTTACCCCTGCTACCTTAGCCTGGCCTGCCCGCTGGGGAGGCACGGGAGGGTGGCAGTGATCCGATAAGGAAGTCTTATCGCTAACAGACGGTACAGACGGTGGGGTGCCTCGAAATTTTTCTGGATCCCAAGGTGCAGTTCGCCTGAACTTCGGTTTTTCTGCCGACCGCCCTCGCCCTCGATCGCAATTCTCTGCCTTTCCCCAAGTCAAACTGGTCGCATCCATCTTCAGACTTTTTCTACCAAGCCCATTCATATTTTTTCAATTTTAGAACGGTATACTTCCGACGACGACTTTGAGTTCCTGTCCCTTTCGTTTTCTTTAACAACTAGACTTTTTGATACCCCGGCGCAAAGCACCACCCAATCTTCACAATGGCTCCCCTTATGCCCGTCGCCGTCTTTGGCTTGGAGGTTCCTCCTGGCGAGATCCTCATTCCCGCCGCCTCTGAGTTCCCTGCTATCGTAAGTGCACACTTTCCGGAGCTTTTGACTCTCTCGTTCGCAGGCAATGGCGCTGCAATGGGTTGCACGGAGCTAACGACATGGATTCCAGATTCACATCACCATGGCTGCCCTCGATCCCACCAAGGCTCCTGAGGCTGACGGCCAGGGCAACATTCCCACTCTCCCCCGCTCGACCCTGAAGATCATCAAGGCTACTGGCCACGACCACGACGATGATGATGAGGAGGAGGATGAGTACCTCCAGTCCCTCCTCGGCGGCGGCGACTCTGACGACGAGGCCAACGGTGGCCCCAGCGATCCCTCCAAGTCCAAGAAGGCCAAGCAGGAGGCTGCCATCAAGAAGCTTATGGCTGCTACCCAGGAGGAGTCTGATGAGGAGATGGAGGACGCCAAGCCCAACGGCAAGAAGGGCAAGAAGGGCAAGGGCAAGGCCAGCGAGTCCGACGAGGAGGAGAGCGACGAGGAGAGCGACTGCTGCGGCGAGGATGACCTCCAGCTCGAGGACTACGTTGTCTGCACTCTCGACACTGAGCGCGTAAGAAACCCCTTCCACTCGGTAAACGCATGTTCGAGTTCTCAGAGCTAACCTGATTTCCCATATACAGAACTACCAGCAGCCCATCAACATCACCATCGGCGAGGGCGAGAAGGTCTTCTTCTGCGTCCAGGGTACCCACTCTGTTTACCTCACCGGTAACTTCGTTGTTCCCGAGGATGACGAGGAGGACAGCGAGGATGACGAGGATGAGTCCGACGACGAGGATTACGACTTCCCCCTTGGCGGCGAGGATGACGATTCCGACGATATGAGCGACGAGCTCGACGAGCTCGACGGCACCCCCCGTGTCAAGGAGATCACCTCGGAAGATGAAGAGGAGGCTCCCAAGCTTGTCGACACCAGCAAGAAGGGCAAGAAGCGCCCCGCCGAGGACGATGCCGAGGGTCTTGATGCCATGATCTCCAAGGACGACAAGAAGCTCAGCAAGAAGCAGCAGAAGAAGCAGAAGGTTGAGGAGGCCAAGAAGGAGGAGCCTAAGAAGGAGGAGCCTAAGAAGGAGACCAAGTCCGACAAGAAGGTCCAGTTCGCCAAGAACCTCGAGCAGGGTCCTACTGGCCCTGCCAAGGACAAGCTTGAGAACAAGAAGCCTACCTCTACCGTCAAGGTTGTCCAGGGCGTCACCATCGACGACAGGAAGGTTGGTTCCGGCCGTGCTGCCAAGAACGGCGACCGTGTCGGCATGCGCTACATCGGAAAGCTCCAGAACGGCAAGGTCTTCGACTGTAAGTCTCACTCTTCCACACTAACACTCTCACAATGTTGACTAGAGACTAATATTGTAATACAGCCAACAAGAAGGGTGCCCCGTTCTCCTTCAAGCTCGGCAAGGGTGAGGTGATCAAGGGTTGGGACATCGGTGTTGCTGGCATGGCTGTTGGTGGTGAGCGTCGTCTCACCATTCCCGCGCACCATGCCTACGGCAGCCGTGCCCTTCCCGGCATCCCCGCCAACAGCACTTTGATCTTCGACGTCAAGCTCCTTGAGATCAAGTAAATCGTGACATCTCGAAGCGTGAGGTATGAAGGCTTTGGCTAGCGTTGCGATTTCTATGGCGGTTGTCAATCGCAACCTCTCGTATTCTATGGCTAGCAAGTCTCGGGTTTTCTTTCGTCAGCACATATTTCCTTGCGCTCATGTTGGGTTTGGTCAAGGAAGTGGGAACGTCATTTCAGCAGCATAATGTCAAAAGTTTCGGGTCTGGATTTCTTTCTGTACTTTGGGTTGTACATCGTTCAAGGGGCACGAGATACTCTATACTGCGTCTTTCAATTGCAAAGAAGCAACATTTCTATGATACCTACACTCGGGTCAGCAACCTTCTTCGATGTTTCAAGATGTCGAGGAAAGTGCCTCTAAATGACGTACGGTAACAACTTCCAGGAAAGAGTGACGGTTTGCTACAAACGCTGTGGTTCTTTTCAGAATCGTAGTCGCACCTGCCGTGAGTGTTCGTGCCTTCAGAGGTAAGTGTTGTTGACTTGGAGTAAGGGAGGCGCATCTGATGAGTGATTAGGATGATACATTTTGAGCTGCCCTACTCGTCATTCACTGCACCTTGTCGTAATTCAACACCGAGACAAACTCCATCCGCATCTTTCCCCCCCGTTCTGCTTCCATCTCTCACTAGGTATCATCATTTTATCTTTCACTATCATCATCATAGCCGCCGCGGCTCCCGACTGTCGCCAAACTAGGCCTCGCGCGTTACGATCGACCAAGTTAGACGCCGTAGCGGTTTCTACCATTCAATGGACAGGACCGAGCTTGCGACATGAAGAGGAGCTCTTCTCTGACATCAAGTCATCTGGGTACCACCATCCCGGTTTGCCATCCCACTACTACTAGGCCTGACGACTGCTCGGATAGTTGGTCTCTCGCTTTATCTTCACCCGAACAAGGTGCCCCTCGCCCATCGAGGTCTCACTGGCAGAGGTCAAGGCTTGGTCTGGCTTTAAAAGCACTCACCCACAACGGTCAGTTAAATGGGAATGTGTCAATGCTATCTCTTTGCCCCGATTGAAGAGAATACTGACCAGTTTCTGAAGCAGAAAAGCCAGTCTCCAATAACGAGACTAAGTCGTTGACCTTCGACCTATCAAGACCCAGGGCAACGACCCTTTCACGGCGCATAGGCAAAATGTCCGGAGCACTTTTTCGTGCAGTAGCAGAGCCGACAATCATTCATCGAAAACATTCGAAGGGACGAATCCCAATAGACCACGCATTCCAATCAGCAGACGACAACAAGACCACTTTGCTACAGTTTCCTCAGTCCCCGCCGGCATCACCGACCGCGGGAGATATGGATACTGGGTCCAGCAAGAACAGTCCTACGAATAGCAACAGCAACCCAAGTATGTCTCCCGAGGACTCAACCGCTCAGAGCTCCTTAGATTCCAGGTTCTATGCATCACCCCCCGGAAATTCTCACTTTAAAAGTCCTTGTACGAGGCCTTTTGAGAAGAAGCATCTTCAACGTCATCAGCACCCTGTCCTGAATTGTGCGCATGCCAACCGCCGCGGCGTCAATACACCCTCCAGTCCTGATAGCAATCTCACTACGATCCAAGAGACTGCTCTCGACCAAGCGTCTCCTAGCGTACTGACTGTCGAGCGGGCAGCCGCGGCCAAGATTTACCTTGAAACTTACTTCGATGAGCTGCTGAATCCCGGGCCCAGCCCGCGGTCTATTCGTCTTCAGTTGCTTGAGACACATCTTATCAACTGCGGTGCTTTGGATGGTAAAGTGAGCCCTTCGGAGGTAAAAGCTGTGCGTGCGGATTTCTTTCGTCGAGAAAGCGAGCATCTACGCAAGACTCGCGTACTGAAAGCTCGCAGTACCCTCGCACTGGTGGCGCAACGGGGCGCCCCTGAAGCCAGCGTTGAAAATGATTGGGATGTCTTGAAGATTCTCGGTAAAGGCAGCTTTGGGGTGGTACGACTCGTCCGGGAAAAATCCCAATATCGTGATGAAGATCCCAATGGCCGCTCTGACGGTTGGTCCGAAGCTAGCAGCAAGCAGGTGTACGCCATGAAGGTTATCCGAAAGTCAGACATGCTTCGTACTAGCCAAGAGGGTCATCTGAGAGCCGAAAGGGACTTTCTTGTTGCATCTGAAGGCTCAAAATGGTACGTGCTTCAAGTAGCACCCTGAATCTCCAGCCGATACTGACTAGGCCGCAGGATCGTACCACTCATCGCAAGTTTCCAGGACGCTGCCAATCTTTACCTCGTCATGGAGTATATGCCGGGTGGTGATTTCCTCGGACTTCTAATCCGGGAGAACATCCTACACGAGTCTGTAGCACGATTCTACATTGCCGAAATGATACTATGTGTCGAGGCGGCACATGCGCTCAAGATCATTCATCGAGATATCAAGCCGGACAACTTTCTCATCTCTGCCTCAGGTCATTTGAAGATCAGTGACTTCGGTCTGGCATTCGACGGTCACTGGTCGCATGACGCCTCATACTTCAACTGCCACCGATATAGCTTGCTCAACAAGTTGGGCATCCACATCGAGGGTGATGACCAAGACAAGGCCGAAGGTCGCAGTCTGCAGGCCACAATGAAGTGGGCAAGCGGTATCATGACGGGGATCGACAAGCACGAGAAAAAAAATAAAGATGATGGAGAGCCCCTTCTTAGCTGGCGTAATCGATGCGGTAATCGCACTTCTGCTATGAGTGTTGTCGGCACTAGCCAGTATATGGCGCCAGAAGTCATCGAAGGGAAGAAGTACGATGCTCGGTGTGACTAGTGGAGTATCGGCGTTATTCTTTTCGAATGCCTCTACGGTCGTACGCCGTTTATTTCCGATGCCGGTAGACATATGACGAAGCAGAACATTCTAGTAAGTTATCTGCAGCCCCCATATCCTCCGTACAGGCACCCAGCGTGGCACAGTTGCAATCGCTGACTGCATTTCACGTTAAAGAGATACAAGGAGACGTTCCATTTTCCACGTCAACCTGCTGTCTCTACTCGGTGTCAGCAATTGATCACGTCGCTTATAGACGACAGAGAGAACAGGCTCTGCTCTAAACGTTATCGCTTCAAAGATCTCATCAATGTGTCTATGACTGCCCAATCAGCCCATCCAGGAACCACAGGAGGACCCGGTATAGGGACTAGTTCTTATGGCCATCACCGGAAGCAGCAGCCTGAGTCGGCAGTCCCACGAGACTTCGCCGGCCGTTACGTGTTTCCTTACGATGCTGAAGACATCAAGGCGCACAAGTGGTTCAGGGGAGTTCCTTGGGAGAGGCTGCATGAGATTGATCCGCCTTACGTACCGCATCTCCGAGGCCCCGATGACACTCATTATTTCGACGACGAGGATCCTATCAGCGATTGGAGCGACAGCAGCGAGGAATCAGAGCCGGAGGATCCCTCACCGACATCTTTTGGCTCTCCGGTCACCTCAGACCCATACGGAAGCTCAAGTCCCATCAGTCCAACCACACCCTCTATGCTTGGATCTCTCAAAGACCTTAGCATAGGCAGCCGTCATCCCAATCCCAAAGATAAAACGACTTCTGTGGCTAAGCAACCTCTTCAAGGCCTCAGACGTGATGTTCAAAAGTGGGCTCTCACTGCCATTGCAACCCCGTATGACAGAAATCGCCTACACAATCTTGATTCGCAAATTGATGAAAAGTTTGTCGATCTGGCTTCGGAAGAGCGGGAGATGTTGAAACAGTTTGTGCGGGTCTATGGAAAGAAAGACCGAAAGAGGCCCAGGGACAAGCTGTTGAGGGACAAGAACACCAAGGCAGTGGTCATGGATGTGAGGAAGAGGACCGCCTTTTTGGGCTACACTTGGCGACGGATGAACCATGACAGTAACGGAGCGGTGAGAAAGGGCTTGGAACGGATTTGGCCCAACGTTGGTTCTTTTGTGAGCGATGGGAATCCCAGGGGCGAAGATGGCACATTCGATGCTGACGGTGTTGCATTTGGTGGTAGCGGTGGTTATGCCGAAAGTGTTTATGCGAATCACGCTGGCTATGAGTGGGAGGAGGATCGCGCCGCTGCTGTGAAAGCCTTGCGCAAGGGAAGACTGAGCTGGCTCTAGCTTGGATGACGATTTGTTCAGAAGACTGATCAGCCGGGGGAGAGTGTGAGATGTTGAGTCGATGGACGAGAGTATTAGACGTCATGGTAGGTTTTGCTTTTGAGTAACACTGCGTAACTGAATATCCGATAGAAGTGCGAAGCCAGGGAAATAGAAATACAGAGTATTAGCATTAAGAGTTATTCTAACCTTTTTGCTGGGGAGCCGCTTGCTTTTTGCTCCACTAGTGACTGACGTTCAATGAAGACGCTCGAACTCATCCATCGGGAGTTGTTGGTAGCCAACGTTGCCACCCCGGCTCAGAAACCGTCACCACTGCTTGCCGGCATCAACATCTTCCTCAGTACCAGCCTGCTGTACGACAGGCGTCTTGCCCTCCGCCAGCGCCTTGGCCGTCAAGATCTCGAACTCATACTCCTTGAGCGCCCGCAACTCGCTCCTGAAAAATAAAAGCGACATCAGCCCGTCTAGCGTACCGCCCACCAAGCCCAGCGTGCTGACGAGCATGAGGATGAACGCAACAAAGTTGCGCGGGACGAACCACACCGCGACGAGACACCCGATCGAAACTCCCAGCCACGCGAAGAAGTGGTACGCTCGCCATTTAAGCTGCGACCGCTCGCGGGCTACGTATTTGTGGATTAGACTGAGAATTTGGTCGTAGCCGCTGGGCGGTAGGCGAGGTGGTGGGGAGTTGAAGGTGAGGAGCTGTTTTGTGTAGGAGAGGTTGTCGTCGGTCTCGGTGTTGGCATCGGCCTCGGCGATACTGGTGCCTTGAGATGATGGTTCCTGGAGGTAGGTGCCCGTTTGGATGAGGTGGTTATCGGGGTCGTTGAGGAGGGTGGTGGTTGGTTTGATGGTTTGATGTGTGTCGCTGAAAGGGCTGTTGTTGTTATTATGCTGCTGCTTTAAAGGAACAAACTTCAACGTCGCCTCAACAGCAAAGTGATCACTCAACGAACACCCCAGCTCTGGATGCCGCATCATCATCCCAACCGCCGCGCGCTTGACCACCCATCCCCCGCCATTAGCCACCACGTCCCCGGCTCCAGCAAAGATGTAATCCAGCCGCTTCCCGCGCAAGTCCGGCGTGCTCGGGTCGACAGTCACCTCGGGCTTGCCGATGCCCAGCCGCTTCTGCTGCTTGGGCAGCCAGCGCCACGTGTTGAAGGGCCCGTCCGAAGTGGCGCAGTTCTCGAGGATGTTGAACTCGGCCGTGGGGACGGGCCGCCCCCGAGCCTTTTCGGCGTGGTGGTGCGCGGGCCCGACTGAGCTGTCGGGATGGAGAATGCGCCAGACGTCGCGCACGGGCGCGTGAGAGGTGACGATTTGGTGCTCGAGGGACAGGGGCAGCATGTTGAAGTCGCCCAGGCCGAGGACGAGGTGGCCCCGTTCGGCGGCGCCGCGGAGGAGTTTGGAGATTTCCCAGGACTGAGAGGTGCGATGGCAGATGTAGGAGTCTTTGGGCCCGGATTCGTAGGGGGCGTGAGTGTGAGTGTTGAACACCTCGATAATGTGTTTCGGACCCGGGCCATATCGGATCTTTGCACAGGCAACGCCCTTCCCAACATACCAGTCGCCGCGCCAGAAGGCCGTAGGTCGCCCGTTCAGAGGATACCGGAACATGGTGCTCTCCTCAATGGGCCACTTGGACAGGATGGCCAGACCGCCGCCAAAGGCGCCGGCGAAGTAGAACTTGCCATATGGCAGGATGTAGCGGGTTTCGCGCCGGATGGTCAGGTAGTCCTCGTGGCAGAAACACTCCTGAAGCGCGACGATTTGCGGTTGCGGGTCGGCGATGGCGAGCTGGCGGCCAATTTCTAAGAGACGCTCGCGCCGCAGCTTGGATATGTATTTTAGACCCCAGCAGTTGAGCGTCACTATGGATATTTCGGTGGGCAACTCGGCCATCGTGGCTGAGAGTTCGTATGGTTGTTGATGAGCAAAATCGTCTGATGTGGTTGATGTGTTCTTAGAGAGTTAGAGGAGGTGTCAGATGGGATGTCAGATGAGAAGCCGCAAGTTCATGGTACGCCCACACAGATGCAGCGCGATGAATGAGTGAAAGTCAACAAAGCTCTTCGATAACGATACAGAGTTTAGTTATGACTTCAAAACAATCAAAGTGAACTCGCCTTCCAAGTTACGGTCACGGCGGCTTTCCCTCCATCCTTGAACACGCCCAACTAAACCATTCTAGGTTTGGCGTTTCCGCCCAGTTGGTGTGGAGGCTCTCCACAAATCTCGAGATCTCCAAGACGGGACGTCAACGACTCCTCCAGCGGACGGATTGACCAATTGGGTGACCTTATTCTATGGCTGCAGCTTCAAAGTACCTGGGTACCTCTGGTACGGACACATGCGTAAAAGGTACCTCACGTCCAGACCTTAATGGATCTCGGAGCAGAGGACATGAAAGAAACAAATACTCAAACTTTCAATCTCTGCAAAGAAACATGCTCCTCTCGTTGATTCATAGCGAATGCTTTAGCTTTTCGTTGGTTATGATTAGCCAACAAAGGCTGTTGGGTTGAAGTCCGTTGGCTTTGGTGTACATATGGACTCCCTGATGACAACTTGTGCCTGCCACGCCCCTGCACCCCCAAAAGTTGGGCAAGGTACCTTGTCGTGCGCGCGCATGCACTTTGAACTTTCTTCCACTCCGACTGATGCCAACCGAACCCGACGAACGGATCTATAACCACATCACATATTTTTTACTATTACCCTGACGTCTCCACGAGCTCAGACTCCCATCATTTATCAATATTCTTGGTGAAACACCCTCAAGCTAGATCCGCGTCTTGCGCCCCAAGACAGAACGGCATCTTCTCAAGCCAAGCTTCCCCTCGACATGCCCAAAACCCAGGCTTCCCCAGAAGGCACAGCTGCTGAGCCGCCTCACCCCAAACGCCGCAGACTCCCAGACGACGACGCCAGTTCGATGCCGCGATATAGTTCACCCGCCGAAGATATGAACCGCGACGAAGACACAACAGGATTCGAAGGTCGATCTCGTGCCCATAGGCCGTTAGCGCGCCGCGACCGTCTCTCTACAAGCCCAAACAGGGCCAGGGATGCGAGCGCAAGTAGAAGTAGAAGCAGAAGTGGGAGGAGTAGAACCAAAAGCATCAGTCCCCGTTCCGACGAAGACGAGCAACAACGGCGATACCGCTCCAGGTCATCATCCAGGTCTCGCGAATCGCGGTCCAGATCTTCGTCGCGCTCCAGGAGTCGCTCGTACTCACGTTCTCCAACCCGATCCCGATCCCCTCCCTCTCGATCGCGCTCCCGGTCACGATCTCGAACAAGCTCGACACGCGACCGCTCCCGTTCCGTATCGCCCTCTCGCTTTCAAGACCGCCGTTCCTCCAAATCACATGCCGAGCAGCTTCGACCGAACTACCGACCCCGCTTAGAGCTGAGCGGTCATACGGCTGCTATCAGCCAGGTTCGAATATCACCAGACGGAAGATGGATTGCCTCCGCTTCTGCCGACGGCAGCGTCAAGATCTGGGATGCCACCACGGGCCACAACCTCGACACTCTTATAGGCCACATGGCCGGAGTCTCATGCCTGACATGGGCACCGGACAGTAACACTTTGGCTACCGGCTCAGACGACAAGGCAATTCGTCTCTGGGACCGGGTGACTGCTAGTCCCGCCCACGCGTGTGGGGATGAAAGCAACCGTGGCCAGGGACCACGAGAGTACATCAGAGGCGGCAGCCAGCTCAGGACAGCACGCGGAGGTAGAACAGGAATGGGCCCGTTGCTGGGACATCACAACTATGTTTACTGCCTCGCCTTTTCGCCAAAAGGGAACATTCTGGCCAGCGGTAGTTATGACGAGGCTGTGTTTCTGTGGGATGTACGAGCTGGTCGGTTGATGCGAAGTTTGCCCGCTCATAGTGACCCAGTGAGCGGCATCGACTTTTGCTGTGACGGGACACTGGTCGTTAGTTGCTCTACGGATGGGCTTATGTACGTTTCGGACTGCATGAAAATCTGATTTTGATGGGATATGGTTGCTAATCTTTGGAGTTCCACAGTCGAATATGGGATACATCCACCGGCCAATGTCTCCGGACGCTCGTCCACGAGGACAACCCCGCCGTCACCAACGTTTGCTTCAGCCCGAACGGCCGCTTCGTACTCGCCTTCAACCTCGATAACAGCATTCGTCTTTGGGACTATGTATCAGGAACCGTCAAGAAGACATACCAAGGCCATAAAAACAGCGGCTTTTCTATAGGCGGAGGTTTTGGCGTGGTGACCGACAACAAGGATACACAGGACGACTACCGACACGGTAATAGGGGGAAGCCATTTGTTGTGTCGGCTAGTGAAGACGGAGATATTGTGATGTGGGATGTGGTTACTAAGCAAATCGTACAGCGTATCGAGAAGGCCCACGAGGGGGTCTGTTTCTGGGTGGATGTCAACGGCGACACCATGGTGAGTTCTGGGCAGGATTGCACCATCAAGGTTTACAAAAATGTGCGGAGGAAAAAGGATGACCGCCGGCGAAAACTCGACAAGCCGAACGACATCAGTGCGATCGACGGGACGAATGGTCATGGTAATGGCAGAGGAATTGATTCCGACGAAGCTATGGGTGACGATGACCTATAGCATCGCGCACGGGCTGACTGATACCTGACCACTGTTTCAAGGAAAGTGAGAGCACATTCAAAACCAAATACCCCATTTAGCTTTATTCCATGATTCGCGACGCTGCTGAGGGTTGAATGCGGAGACAAATAGGTCTTGGAGCTTCCTTGCGTTGCTTGGGTGACTGACCATTCTGATTCGCATTTTTACCTGCCCGTCTATGAACAGATGACACGCCTATTCCAAGCAGGTGTGGGTTGTCATCTGATGCCCAGAGATAAAGCAGGTCCAAGTGGTAGGTACCAACAATCCGTCGTAGGAACACCTCATACCCGAGGAGGTAGGCATGCGTACAGGTAGTGATCAACCACCATGGTTGCCTCTACCTGCTAACCGCTCAGTGTCCGGAGGCATGGCGCCCTTTCTGTCTGGTCATCTATGGCCTCAGATGGGTGGGTGAATTGGATCTGGTGTAGCAGGAATAAACCCGTAAGAGTCTCGACACAGCCAGCCCTCAGTTGCTGGCCTTCTCAGACTCAATGACATCCACATCCATCTCCTCCTGCACCTCCAACACCAACGCCAGGCTGTCCATGAAGGAATTCACGGCGACGCGGAGCATGCGGTTTGTGGTCGCCTTGTAGTCGACTTGCAGGACCGTCTCCCCGGCATATTCGCTGCCAGGGGACGCAACGGTCGAAAGCTCTCGCTTGACGAGGCCGGAGAGCTCCTTGTCTACCCTTAAGGCCTGGAGAGCAACAGAAGCCAACCGAGCATCAGGGAAGGGCACTTGAAGTGTTCTTTTTCGGGTTGTTGTGTTAGTGTCAGTTATCCTGAAAGAAATGCATACAAGGTACCCGAGCGTTGAACGAAGTTACATGGGCATGAAGAAAGATGGGAAAGAAGTACATGACATGAAGAATAAAAACAAGGATAAGAATGAGACAATAACACTAAAAAAGATGACCTACAGCGAACAGGGGAAGTTATCGTCGGTTGCCATGGTTGCGGTCTTTGAAAACCCTGTAGTAAACACTTGCAAGAAAAATGTTGTCTTGAACCAAGGGGTTTCAAACTGGCACGCGTTTAACGGTTGTCAGGGGAGTTTGTGTGGCAAGCGCTACCCGATGACGAATGTCGAATTCCAACCGCCGCGGCGTTGCAAAGGCGCTCTTCAGCAGTGTGCCTGTGCTGTGATGACTCTGTAGGAGTCTCAAACTGTATCTCACACTGGCTTATTCGCAGTGAGGTTACTATCGTCTACAGTTATCGCAATTCGCAAGGTCGTAGGCGGCAGGCTGGCTGAACAAGCGAGTTCGACATTCGGTTGTGCCGTGCTGGGCGCAAAGGAATCAATGGCGGCTCTGCTCGCAGAAAAGGACAATCCGGCATCACCTCCCTCCCTACCTCAGCTGAGAGTGGAGCTCTGGGGGGATCTCCCGTCGGAACGGAGTGATGTTACTGGTCCAGGCGCGACTGCGAATGCCAAGAGAGAAGGTTGTCAGGACAACGGCGGGTGAGATGGAGCTTTGGACGCGCTTATTGGGCGGTGAATTGTTTTGGAAGACACCAAGCCCCCCGAATTCTTCGCTGGCCCACGCTGACCCAGGGCGCAGGCAGCGGTCGGGCAAGTTCAGTTGCGAAGGTTCGAGGCGGTCTCTGCATGGAAGGTGAGGTGAAGGTCTCGCTCGTTCCCCAGTTCCCCAGGGTCCCTGCCAATGACAATACAACCTTGCCAGCAAAAACACCGCTCTTGTGGTACCGGTAAGGCCGTACCTGCTACAAAACCTGTTCTCCGCAACCAGCATCATACCCTCCTCCCATCGCACATCATCATCGAGTTGCCCACTCCTTTGTTTCTTCAATTCTCCTGCCTCCGGTGCCTTCGTTCTTGAAGAATTGCATTTTCGCAGCCGGCGTCGTCTTGTCTATCTTTGGAGGCTTCGGCTCCTGCTTTTGGCCCTTTCATCTCACCCCGCACCTGCAGTGCAGTACACAGTCCCTTGCGTCGCGTGCGGTATACCTAGCCCAGCTTAGCTGCTTGGTTTCCTTTGTTGGCACACAATCGATCTGCGATCTCGACCTCACCTTCTTCCCGTCAATCCGACCAAAATTTTGGTCGTCAAAATATTGAATTGGAGGTTGACATCCTTCGCTCCCGCCTCCCAATAGCTCATTACACAGAATTACTATCCCAGTACATGCGCCCGCGCACCGTCGCAACGCCAGTCGCTCTCTCGACATAAACAGTCGACTCGGAGCCTCCCAGGCCACGACGCCATGGCTCCTTCCTCCAGACACTCCAGCAGTCTGGGGCAAATCATTGAGTACATTCCCGGTACGTGTAAACCATGAGCGCGCCGTTTTGGTCCTCTCAATCGAAACTACAGATTTTTATTTTTCCTTTGGCTTCGTCGTACAAAAACTCCATGTTTATGATCCACCCGCATTGCATGTTCACCGCCCCGCAACGGAGCTGCCCGCCCCAACATGTGCACCTTTGCATATCCTCTACACTACCAGCATTTGCCTTGCAGTATACTAACCTTCACAGACCGATTGTACCTTGCATCTTACTCTGAGCCTCCTACCGAGCATACCCTGTTCCCCTACCCGGATCCTGAACCACGGTCTCCGCGGAAGCGCTCTCAACGAACAGTCGACCAAGTCGCGGAGCGTAAGAAGCCATACTACTTCACCGTCGACGATACTCTTCTATATAATGCCTTCCACCACGATTTTGGCCCGTTCCACATCGGGCACCTTTACCGCTTCGCCTTGCAGTTCCATGAAATTCTCGGGGCCAAGGAGAACAAAGACAGGCCGGTAGTGTTCTGGAGCAGGGCCGACCCACGCAGTAGGTTATCCAAGCCCGCCTACTCGAGACTAGCAACGATCGCTGACCAATGTTATCTCAGGTCGTGCCAATGCCTCTTGTCTACTGGCTTGCTACATGGTTTTGATCCAATCGTGGCCTCCGCATCTGGCTCTTGCGCCGGTCGCCCAGGTCGACCCCCCTCTAATGCCGTTCAGAGACGCCGGCTACAGCCAGGCCGACTACGGCATCACGGTTCAGGACGTTGTGTACGGCGTTTGGAAGGCCAAGGAGGAAGGCTGCTGCGTGTTGGAGACATTCGACCTCGACGAGTACGAAAAGTTTGAGAGAGTTGAGCACGGCGACTTCAACTGGATTACACCCAACTTTCTGGCATTTGCCTCTCCTCAGCATACCCCGGTTGCTCCCACACCTGAGGGGACCGAGCAGTGGTCACTTCTACCAAAGACTCTAGCCGCCGTCGACGCACATCCTACGCTGCCGCAGCCCTTCAAAAATGTCCTCAGGCATTTCTCGGAGCGAAACATCGGTCTTGTCGTCAGGCTGAACTCGCAGCTCTACAATCCCTCCTACTTCGAAGCCCTAGGAATCAACCACATCGACATGATCTTTGAGGATGGAACTTGCCCGACCCTTTCGACCGTACGGAAGTTTATCCGCATGGCCCATGAAACCATATCTAGGAAAAAGGGCATCGCTGTTCACTGCAAAGCTGGTCTTGGCCGAACAGGCTGCCTCATCGGCGCCTACCTGATCTACCGACATGGATTTACAGCAAACGAGGTCATTGCGTACATGCGCTTCATGCGCCCAGGCATGGTCGTGGGGCCTCAGCAGCATTGGTTGCATCTGAACCAGGGCGTCTTCCGGGAGTGGTGGATCGAGGAGCGGGTTGAGCGGAGGCTGCGCAAAGAGATGGCAGCCGCGGCCGCGGCCGCGCAGGCTAACGGGACCGCGCATCCCAGCACCCCTATCCGTGCTATGTCGAAGACAAGTCTTGGTCGTAGCTCTAGCAAAAACGGCGTGTCCACACCCTCTAACAGAGGATCAATTCGGACACCGCTAGGCGAGATCGACCGGGACTCGGCGCGTGATAATCATATTGGCGTACAAGAGGATTACCTCCCTGCACCTACGCCAGGACAGCCAAGGAAGACGCAGCGGGGCGCAGTAGATCGCCAGAAAGGATACGGCCGGGGAACTATTCAGACCACTGTGGAGGAAGAACCTGCCCCCATGACGGAAGTGACAACCGAGGTGATTACGGTTCAAAAGAGCTCAAGAGGGCCGAATTCAGAGGAGGAATGGAATCTTCGAAGAACTCGGCGAAGACAGTCTGCCACTCCAACTTTACCAGAACAACCACGCCCCGAACGGTCTGTCACCCACCAAACCGCTACCACGAAAACGACTGTTTATCAAGTTATGGATAATGATGCATCGAACAATATCGAGAATATTGGTACTGCAGTAGCACGAATAAAGGCCCACGACCATGCTCCACGCACTAGTTCCGCGTCCGGAGTTTTGACCAAGGTACGAGGCAACACTAGTGCGAAACGCCATCCACCTGGGAGCGTCAGAGAAGCTGGTGTTCGAAAGACAAGCGGACGAGTTGGGAGTATAGGGAACTCGATAACCAGTCCGGCAGCTGTATCGGCGGTGCGTAAAATAAGTGGGATGTGACCCCATCCTCATGAGTCGAGAGACTCTATAGACTTCGGTTGATGAGTTATGACGACAGCTCCGATTCATTGGCTCCACGATTCAATTGAGATACAAAAAGAAATGGTGCGTTCAAGAGCATGAGGTTATGCCTTTGGAAGTCTTGGGTTTCTCAGTAGCAGCAAGCAAACTTGGAGCATTCAGCGAGCGAGCGAGCTGCAGCATATTGGTTTAACCATCACGTTTGCATGATCAGCACTTTATTTTCCACGCATGACGGCCTCTCTGGCATAGCAGGTTTCGTCTTTGGAGGCGTTTTCTTCTGGATTGCAAGGTCATACTTGGGTTGTGGAGGATACTACGATAAACGTTGCATGGGCATGAGCATGGAATGAGGGCGGGGAGGCAAAGGGGATTCTGCTTTTTTCTAGGCCGGGTTAAATTCTGGCATGACTTCTTTGGTGGACTTGGGATTTGGCTTACTCTTTCGGTTCGTCATCGATGGATGATGATGTTCCTGTGTTCAAGTACTGCTGTACGGAGTCATGGATAAGATCAGATCGGTTAGACGACTGGCACTCGAACAATATCACGGCTTTTCAGTTGCAGTTCCGGCTTCCAGTGAAACGTGAACCTGATACTTAAGTTGATGTTCACTCCCGGCCATCATTGCAGTGCAGCACTATGGTCCCGACTACTCTTGACTCCCCCTTACTGTGTAGGCTAGCCGGGAAGCCCCATGCCGCCTCCGGAGATGTCGTCCTCCGCCGGACATCCTCACCGAGGGCCGGAAGTCCGCGGCGAGTGACTTCTGACCCGGGCAGTCAGGTGAGTGTACTGCATTAATAACGAGTCCAGTTCTCCGCGCGCGGTCTACGGTAGTTGTCTCACGAAGTACAACTGAAGACGGCGATGGTAATGAAGTGGGTAGCGATTTTCGGTTGCACGCCCGCACCGTACAGTACCTCAACAGTGAACGGTTATTACCTCTATGGTTGCCGGATGGTCAGGAGTAGGATACTGTTAACATCATTATCTCAGCAACCATAAATCCCCCAGGCACTCACTGCATCATCAAGCGACGGAACGAACACTGAATTGGCAGGAACTCTTCCATGACATCGATGAGTCAGGTGCACACCGGAGGGTAGAGCATCGCGACTTCCTTTCCCTCCTCCTCCCACCCCAGACTACTGCACGCCAATCCCGCTGCCAGGGCCGCAGCCTGTATGGTAGGAGACCTTATGGTTTTTCTCCCCAAAACCATTGTAACCTAGATATCAACGGTGGAGCAACCGTTCTTCCCCTGCAACGGTTGTGCCTTCTTAACTGCCCGGCAACCGCCCAAGAACCGTAAGTTTCTCATAGGGTACCCCAGCTAAGGTCGTTACTTCCTAACCGTCGACAACCACTCAACAACCGTGAGTCCCCCACATGGTATTATCCCAGCTACTTAAGTTAGGGAAGGAAGGAGCAAAGATCCAGAAGAAGCAGATGTACATCTGTTAGTGAGGCCCGACCTTAACTATGTAAAATTTCATCGCTCTACTACCCCTTCTAACAGATATCCCTCCAGTGTACATGGTCGGTCACGAAAGAGTTCCTGCCACTTCGGCGTTCAAGTTCCGTCTTC